AATATGTGCTTTAGATAGTCTCTAAATTCAGATATGTTCAAGTTCATAGTAGGGTAAGTGTGAACTTGTTTTAATTTTCTCCTGCTTCAGTCTGAATTTTCATCACAGCAATAGATGATCTCTTCCACAATTAGTTGTTTTGGCTGATGATATTGAGCTTCTCCGGCCTCTCTTTCCATAGATGTAGTCAATTTGATTCCTGTGTATTCCATCTGTTGAAGTCCACGTGTATAGTCAATGTTTATATTGTTGAAAAAAAAGGTATTGGCAATGAAGAAGTCCTTGGTCTTGCAAAATTCTATCATGCAATCTGCATTTCTATCACCAAGGCCATATTTTCCAACTATTAATCCTTACTCTTTGTATTCAGCTTCTGCATTCTGATCGCCAATAATTATTAATGCATATTGATTGCATGTTAGATCAATTTCAGACTGCAGAAGTTGATGAAAATCTTCAGTTTCTTCATCACTGACTTTGGTGGTTGATGCATCATTTGAATAATAGTTGTATTAGTTGGTCTTCCTTGTAGGTGTATAGATATTACCCTTTTACAAACAGCATTGTACTTCAAGATAAATCCTGATATGTTCTTTTTGATGATGACTGTGACACCATTCCTCTCTAATTTGTCATTCCTGACATAGTAAACCATATGATTGTCAGATTCAAAATAGCCAATACCTGTACATTTCAGCTCACTATATTGAGCTTTATACATTCCATTTTAATTTGGAAGTCTTGCTATTTTCCTAGAATTGTACTTCATACATTCCATGTTCTGATTATTAATGGATGTTTGTAGATGCTTCTTCTCAATTTGAGCCATACCCATTAGCAAATGATAGTACCAAAAGCTTCACTCCACCTACACCATTAAAGTTGACTCTACTTTGAGAAGGCATCTCTTCATCAGTCATGTTTTCAGTGTCGTCCGACCTGAAAGGTTCATTTTCTGGCACGGTATCAGGCAATGTTCTGCTTCTATTCATAGTAGAAACCCTCTGACCAAGTTGGATTGGCACAATGGCAGCAACAATGAGCATGTTGTTGTTGTTGATGTGTGCCATCAAGTTGGTAATAACTGGTAGCAGCCCTGTGTACAACAGAATGAAATACTGCCTGGTCCTGTGCCAACCTCACAATCATTCCTACATTTGAGTTCACTGCATCTACCACTGTGACAATCCATCTCATTGGGGGTCTTTCTCTTTCTCTATGACTCTTCACTTTACCAAACATGATATCCTTCTCCAGAGACTGGTCCCTCCTGACAGTATGTCCAAAGTATGAGAGACGAAGTCTGGCCATTGTGGCTTCCTAATAGTGTTCTGACTATACTTCTTCCAACACAGATTGGTTTGTTCTTTTGGCAGTCAATGGTACTTTTAATATTCTCCTCCACCACAAAACTCAAATGCATCAATTCTTCTATGGTCTTCCTTATTCACTGTCCAACTTTCACATGCATATGAGGTGTGCTTGGGTCAGGTGCACCTTAGTCCTCAAACTGACATCTTTGCTCTTGAACACTTTAAAGCTGTCTTGTACAGCAGATTTACCTAATGCAATATATCATTTAATCTCTTGACTGCCGCTTCAGTGAGTGTTGATGGTTGAGCTGACCAAAAGGAAGTCTTTAACAACTTCAATATTTTCTCCATTTATATGGATGCTGTTTATTGGTCCAGTGGTGAGGATTTTTGTCTCCTTTACATTGAGATGCAACCCATACCAAAGACTAATTGTTTTTGATCTTCATCAGTAAGTATTTTAAGTCTGAGCAAGCAAGGTTGTATCTTCTGCATATCACAAGTTGTTAATGAGTCTTCCTTCAATCCTGATGCCGCACTTTTCTTTATGTACTCCAATTTCTTGGATTATGTGCTCAGCATGCAGATTGAATAAGTATGGTGAAAGACCAGAACCCTGGTGCATGCCTTTGCTAATTTTAAACCATTCAGTGTTCCCTTGTTCTATCCGTACAACTGCCTCTTGGTCTATGTACAGGTTCTTCATGAGCACAATTCAGTGTTCTGGAATACTCATTCTTTGAAATGTTGTCTATAGCTTGTCATGATCAACACAATCGAAAGCCTTTGCATAATCAATAAAGTACAGGTGAGTCAATGCCAACTTAGCACCTAGCAACAATAGCAAAACCCTCAGAAGTTGACTCCCTATTCCTGCTACTGGGAGCTCCATTGAAATGTAACCGCCATGGGTGACTCTACTGGGATTTGAAACACTGGTGACATAGCTTCCAGCATTACAGCAACACACAAACGACCACAGTACACAAACTGACAGATAAGTGGAGTGTATATTATTAGCATCATACAATCTTTAGTAGCAATCTGCTCTTGATGAATGTTACCTTATCTCTACTGAAAGGCTAATCTTGGTTTTTGTTTTTTAATGATTTTTAAATGATATTTTTGTTTTTATATTAATAGTGACATATATGTGGTTTTTTAAAGAATGTGTCAGATTTGTATTTGGCTAGTCCTTTCCCCTTTTATACTATATATAGATGCCTGATCTTAGATCTCAAGTTTCAAAAATATGAAGTAGAGCTTTCTGAATCCTCTTAGATATCAGCACAGAAGTTTTTTGTCATTCTAAGCAAGGAAGACAATTGTCATAGAAATTGTAGGGCTTGAAGGATCTAAAACACAAAAATCAATGAGGTAAGCAGAGACAGCAATCTCATCCTTTTTCATTCTCATTGTTCACAGACAGAAAGGAAGACAAAAGGATCCAAAGGACTATTTTGGACAGTACATGTTTTCTTCTCATAAAGAGATATAACCCAGATTTCACTGGAGGATAGTTTTTTTATGTCTAGGAGAAGGACTGCTAGGAAGTTCTAATCTGTCCATGTTTTTTTCAATTTCCTGTCTAATGGAATAAGGATTCTAACTGACATAAAAAAGTATATAATCACAATGGCAGGCATATTGAAGTGACTTGTGTATAGTTTTAGCGTAATACAGCTGTTTTATATATGTTGTTATGTGCCATCAAGTCAATTCCTACTCATAGCTACCCTTTATAGGATTTCTGAGACTATAAGTCTCTACAGGAACAGAAAGCCTCATCTTTCTCCAACAAAGCAGCTGGTGGGCTCAAAGCAGTGGCCTTGTGGCTTATTGTACAGAGCCACCATGCTTATATATATATATATATTGTTGTTGTTAAGTGCTGTCAAGTCGGTTTGGTCTCATAGCAACCCTGTTTAGTGTTTCTGGCAAGCTACTGGTGAGTCTGAATCACCGACTTTGCAGTTCAAATGGACCTTGCTGTCAAGTGCTTACCCTACAGCACCACACCAGAATTCTCTTTATATATATATGTTGTTGTTAAGTGCCGTCGAGTCGGTTCCGACCCATAGCGACCCTGTGCAGGGTTTCCGAGGCTGTAAATCTTTACGGGAGCAGAACGCCTCATCTTTCTCCCACTGAGGGGCTGGTAGTTTCGAACTGCTGGCCTTAAGGTTCGCAGCCTGATTCGTAACCATTACGCTACCAGAGCTGATAGATAGATAGATAGATAGATAGATAGATAGATAGATAGATAGATAGATAGAGATATATATACTCGTGATGTGGCACTGTCAGATAAGCAATGGACTGCTGTCCAAACCCACCACCGGCTCCTTGGAAACCCTATGCAGGGTCACTGTGGGTCAGAACTGCCTCAATGGCAATTAGCAGAACAACATGTACCCCTCACACAGAATTTGAGGTGGATGTTATTAGTAAGCACATTGTCAGATGCGAAAACTAAGACATAAATATTATGCAAGGTGGCCTGTTATTAGCTGGTAAATAACATAGATAAGATTTTAATTCAGACAGTCTAATATTTGTGCTATTAACCTGGATAATATACTTCTTAGAATTAAACAAATCCCTTATTTTTAAATCCTCTTTACACTTTGATTGCTTGGTTCTCTGCTGTGGAGTCAGTTCTGACTCACGGCAACCCTGTTATAGGGTTTCCAAGGCTTTAAATCTCTACGGGAGCAGAAAGCCTCATCTTTCTCCCATGGAACAGCTGGTAGTTTTGAACTGTTGACCTTGAGATTAGCAGCCCAACTCTACCTACAAGAGCTCCTTTCTTCCCTCTTTGTTTCTATGTAATTACTAGATTTATTACCCAAGTCAGGTCAAAGTTCTCCTTCCTTATATAATTTTACTTTCAGTTTTGAGAATGTCGGGGTGATGGAAGAGAAGTGCTTACTACCAAGGGATTATTATGTGGGGATCTTCTTGCTTCCAGCTTTCTAAGTCAATTTAAAAGACCACCTAAAACTGTCTTCTGGGCCTCACGTTTTATGAGATCCTCTTGGCATTTTGGAGCAAGACTCACAGGAGACACCTGTAGGCAGCCAAGGAAGGAATGACAAAAAGTATGTTCCCTTGGTACAGCAACAGTGAGAGTGAGAAACCCAGAAGGCTTTCATCTCTATGAGAAGACCTGAAAATACGTGAGTGTTGTATCAGTGTCTTCTGGGTGATGGGCAAGAGGGAGGGAAGTTGGGGAACCCAGACAAAGACCTTGGGAGTTGACAAGTATAGACTATGTAGTATCTATTTTTGCCATGCAGGAATATGTGGGGAGAAAAATTCATTGAAGCCAGAGTAACATTTGTGTTAAAGCCAGCTCTTTCACTCTAGTCTATTGGACAAAATGACCTTGAGTAAGGGAAGAGTTTAGAGAGATTGTGGGCAGATTAGTCACCGCAGAATATGGCGGATAAAATGAAAACTGTTTCCTTAGAAAACAGAATCAAATAATCGTTTTGTTTTCCCCCTGAGTGTAAAAGGGTGTTCTTGATGTTCGCTGGGAAAGATACTGAAGTTGTTTGTCCAAGAGCTCCAAGAGCCCGTGAGCATTTTTGCCATATTCCTTTCACCTGTGAGTCTTATTCTTGTCTTTGCCCCAGCTGCTTGCTGCACCTTTTCTGTGCCATACTACAGCCTACACTGGGAAGGATGTTGGATTCCCTGCACTTCTCTCTGTCAACAGACCTCTTCTCTCTCCTGCTTCTCCAGGTGTCCATGTGGGGCTCAGGTAAGAACACTTCATATCTTCCATACCTGGGTTCTCTTGTTCTCAAAAAATTAAACAACCCTGTGTCTCCTCATATATACCTAGGTGAATTTGAAATCCACTATTTTGATATGATGATTTATTTTCCTCTACACTTCTTTAGAGAAAGAAACAGGTAGAATTACTTCACTAACACTCTCCCATTTATTCAGAACTCAGCTCAATGGTGTACACATTGCCAGATGCTCCAGAGCTGACTTAAACCTTCAGTTTCATGATTCCCCAGCACTCCTCAATCCTCCTTCCTAGCATTCACCACCATTGCAGTAAAAATGTTATTTAATGACTTCCCTGTGAATTGTAGGCTTATAAAGGTTAGTACTTACCTTTGTTTTATTCATTGCCACATCCTCAGTTAGACTATGTGCCACAAGTAATTGTATGAACGGTGCTTTGTTCTAAAGTACTCCAGCTGGTAATGCTGATATTCTTTTCCCTGTGGCTCTATTTCTCAGATACATTCGTGGTGATTGGTCCCTCGGAGCCCATTGTGGCCATGCTGGGTGCAGACACCATGCTGCCCTGTCGTGTGTCCCCAGTCATGAGTGTGGAGGACATGGAGCTGCGGTGGTTCCGCTCCCAGTTCTCAGAGGCTGTATATGTTTATCAGGATGGAAAGGAGCAGGTGGGAGAACAACTGGTAGATTTCAAAGGAAGAACTGAACTGGTGAAAGACTATATCACTGAGGGAAGAGTAAGTGTGCGAATCCGCAGTCTCCAGGTCTCAGACAATGGAATGTATAAGTGTTTCTTTAAGAAAGGCAGTGACTTTGAAGAAGCTACTTTGGAATTAAAAGTGATAGGTAAGTAGTTATCTGAGAATATATATCGCTCTCAGGGAAACATGGGCATTGTATGTTTGATCTTGGAGGCATGACCGGAAACACAGAGATGAAGAGACAGATATGCTTGGAGCTGATCAACATACTAAACCAGTGGTTTTGGCCTCAAATGTTCTTAATGTATATATGCATTTATTGTGCTGTACTTTTAAATTAGACTGCTTCCATGAGTATTTTTGCTAAGAATAGACTTTTTTTCCTGTCCCATGACTCTTTCTATGCATTGTGAACGAAAGCACTGTGCTTCCCAAAATGTACATTACTTTCAGGCCAGCACCCGAGTCAGCTGCAGTTGATAGATGGTGACTTGGCTGTGACCATTATGGGCAGGTCTCTAATGCAAAGTGTGGACTAAATGGAACTATACAGAGCACTGAGTTAACCATGATGGCTTTTATCATCATTGGTGTTGTTTTCTTTTTCATTGCAATAATTACTAGTATTATAATTCTTAGCCAAAAGAGATACTGTAGCTAAGACTCCTAGTGTGTCTATATATGAAGAACTGGGATAGGGCTGAGCTACACTGAAGGAAGTTCACACTATGTGATAGTAAGTTCAAAAGCAGGTAAAGTAAAATATGGTCTTAGGAGTCAAGATAGACATTGCATTCAAAGGACAAAAGGAGTCTCTAATGTTCTGTTTCATAGATATGTATATAAGGCAAAACATTACAGAACATATATATGTGTGTGTGAATAATAAGGAGCTCTGGTAGCGTAGTGGTTATGAATCGGGCTGCGAACCTTAAGGTCAGCGGTTCGAAACTACCAGCTGCTCCGCGGGAGAAAAATGAGGCTTTCTACTCCCGTAA